ATATAAGATAAAAATTTCCAGAGCAATTGCATGGAATTAAAGACCACACCAATTGCGCCATGACATAAATAGAGGGTAGGTTTGTGTGCGATTTGAAATTATTTCGTGCTAATTTAGAGTTCCATATTTTTTTACTTATATAATCTATTGATTCTCCTATTCGAATACGATATTTTCATTCCCTTCATCTGATTTTGGTAATGCAATTATCTTATTAGAGGCCTGCACGAGTCATCATAATTGAATGATTTATCCAACCCGAACCCGTATAAATTTATAATTTGGAAACCGACTTATTATACAAAAAAATTATAAAATCTCAACCCAAGCCCATTTTTTATTAAACGACGTTGTAACAATTTTATTTATAAAAAAATACTATCAATTGTTTGTGGATTTAAACTTGAGTGAAGCTCAGTAACTGTAAGTCCAGCTGCACTAAACTCTCTTTTGTTAGGTGCACTGGAACATGGAATTGAAGGATAATATGTATGTATATATTACATAAAAATTAACATAAGTAAAAAAAAATTTTAAAAAAAAATCAAATTGGCTGCTCAGACACTTTTAGGGGAGTGATTAGTGGCCCTGATAACCTTTCCAGGTAAATTGAACACTGATAAATTTGACATTAACCCTGGAGAAAGGGATTAACAGTTTTCTTTGGTGATTTCAACACGATTAACAGATTCTTCAAATCGCACCTATTATTCCAATAATTAATGCACTGCAGCAAATTTATAACTCTTGCAGAAAAGCATAATCGTAAAAATAGAATGTGTTCTCACCTTACTTATAAATATTTTTTGAATCCCGTCTACCAACTTATCAATATCCTGCAGAATTGTTGGTATCTCAAAATTATCAAACTCAGTCTTCAGTCTTAATTATTCGTTTTATTCGAATAAACATTCAGTGTAATAAAATTCATGATAATATTAATAACGAATAAACAACAACTTTTCAATGATAACATTTGGATTTAAAATATTTACACGAAAAATTGCCACTATTTAATTTATTAGTTTGTAATCTACTATATATATCTTGATATCTCACGACTTCTCTTCATTGATATATGTGACAAACTTTGCCTGAAGCTTTATTTGTTAAGGATCGAGGTTTAAATTATTCAATGATGATGATGGAACTTTCCAATGGTATTAAAATGGCAAAGATGGACAATTCTCTTTTATTTTTTCTTAATAATTCAAAAAATTTCCTTTTTTTCGAAGACTTTAAGTTAAACGTCGCAATGAGCGATCGGCGGCACGTACACGAATTTATTTGTAAGTATTTTAATATTAATATTAATATAAAACAAAGCAATAATAATAAAACAAAAACAGGACAAAACGACGGATTGTTTTCTTCTCAGGATCAGTAAACGTCAATTAATATCAATATTAAATAGCTTGCTTGTTAAACCTTTTTTTTTAATATATATTCAAAAAAAAATATTAATATTAATATAAAACAAAGCAATAATAATAAAACAAAAACAACTAACGAGTAGAGGGTGAGAAAAATAAAATTTAAATATTAATAAAAGACTAACTTTATTATCAAAAATAATTTTAAAAACAACAACTTTGTATTTCTTTTTATTTTAAATATAAAATTATTCAATTCGTCAACAAAAGGAATAAATAACAAACATTATTGATAACATTTTAATAAACAAATATTTTTAAATTATATATTTATTATATAATAGTATACTCCAAAACGACAAAGTCGTCCAGCAAATGAATAATTACTAGTTTATTGTAAATCACCATCATCGTTAAAACAAACATTATTATTCAGAATCAAAATCAAAATCTGTTAAATTTTTAAGTTTTAGTAGTAATGAGCAGAGTTTTGGTCTGAATATTACAATGAGATGTATAAATATATTTATAAAAATTATATATGTGTTTATAATAACAAAGGACTTGGGCAGTATTCGTGATGTGATGAAATAATGCATATTCAGATTTACGATAATACTTTTTCACAAATTTATTTCAAAATGACTCCAAGGGCATTAATTTAAATGGAAAATTATCATTACGCAACAAACGAATTCATTTTAATTAGATTATAGTGGAAGATAAACACAAAAACAATACAGAAGCTTATAAAAAAATTTTAACATTACGAAAAACAAGTCACGGGCAAAATAGTTCATATCTGATCATAATAATATGATTAACGAGTCATTAGAAATTTCATCTTTTCCGTATTTAAGTGAGGAATTTATTTATTTATTAATATAAGCACTTTCTTATTTAGTTTGTTTTATATAGATGAATCTTACTTCAAAGATTCCTTTCTAAAAATTGCACCGCTAAACTGTTTATGCACCTATATTTATGTAGTCATCATTTTTATAGATCAGATCTTTAAATTTTGTTGACTTATAAAAACCTTTATTTCATTGATAGATCACATATTGCCAACAAAGAGCATAGAAATTGTATAGAAGACATTCCAAAAAACAAAAGTGATGCAGATTAAGATTTAATAATTCGAATGATCCAAGGTTGACAATATGTTGATGCATATGGTATCATCACATATAATAAGTATTATATAAGCATTGTAAATGCTTTTTATATCCAATTCTAACTAAAAAAACTAGCAATTTATTAAAAAAAATTTTTATTGGACTAAATGTAGATAGATATATACCGCATGGCTTTAGCTGAGATAGAGATTGGAACCGGATTATTTACAATCAATATCCGATTTTGAATAAGGGTAATAAGTGGTGTGACTATTTTGGGTATAGCAGAAAATTTTTATTTACAAGTCATATCCAAAATCAGGTAAAACAATTTTATGTCATATCAATATGAAATGATTGGTAAAGCAAAAAAATCTAAAATATAAAAATAGACAAGGGTTAAATTATAATTGTTATTAATATAGAAAGTTTTATGTTCTTTTCCATTTTAAGTAAATTTTCTAATGACTCTTCTTATTACTAATACCAAACACTAAATTATTGTTCACAATTGCAGATTCAGATATGGATTTATTTAAAGAACATCCAACAACTATATTAATATGGTTTTCTTAGTTCTTTGGATAAAAATGTATTTCAATGGTAATTTTTAACATATAATATGTCAAAAATTAAAAGCTTCACCCATATAAGACATGTGACTTCATATGTTACATGCTAATTTTGGATAGTTTTCTAAAATTTTTACTAATAGCCTGGATGTTACCTAATCCGGGGTCCTTATATAACCCGCATAGGATTATCCTACTTCATCTCGTATGGTAATAGGATAATCCTAGTGAAATTTCTCCGCACTTCCTGTTCGTCAGCTGACGAAACTTTATTCACTAATTTCGGTTTCGCCAAAAGTGACTAATACTAAAGTTTTGTTTAAGGTACGCGACTAGCTCTGATATCCACCAAAAATTCTAGAAGAAATAATTAAGGAAGAAAAGAAAGAAAGCAATAAAACACATTAATACGGAAATGATGAAAATATTATGATTACAAAGCATACTATTGTTTTTACTAATAGTAATATTCAATTATATATCAGATAATTGATTAAATTTCTTTAATAAAATTTAAAAGTGTATTATCAATGCAATGAAGCATATTTATTTGGTGGTGTTAGAAAATAAAATCACTATTCCATTGATTCGATTTTCTAAATAGAAATAAATGATTTTGAGCAATAATGTCTTACATTATACGAACGAATTTGCTCAAATTCAACATTGGGAAGTATCAAATAATGTGTTGTAGTAATCCCGGCTCGTGTTATTATTTTTATTATTGAATGAAATTTCTTTTATTTATTCTTTATTATTGGTAAATGGAAAGCCAAGTTAGTCAGCATCTTGAAATCTAATTTATTATTCATGCCCTGTAAAAACTAGTATTACCAAAGATTCCATTGTCAGCCTTTACACAAAAGATTCATAGTAAAAAAATTAAGGGTTTAGTATTATATTTAACAGACTTGGGATACTCTGATTCATTCACGATATACTACCTTGTGATTCATTACTAATCCTCTTAATAAACAATGAGATAACAATAAAATAGTAAAAATTGGCGATCTGGCTATAGCGTCCCCATAGTAAACTTTTTTTCTTTAAGCAAAGATGCTCGATTACCAAATTTGGTTAGTATCCTCCGCTTTTTATTATGTATATTAATATACATTCTTGGACGAATTGTGACACTTAATGATGATCAAAACCTGGGCGTACGTGACGATCAATTATAATTTCGAGACTGTTTGTTTTCCTTGCCTGCTTTCTCATTTCCCAAATTTCTATTTGCCGCGTTTAATATAGAATAACTTCACAACCTCTTTTCAAGTTCTTCAATGCTATTTTTTCTCTACATAATATATCATAACCATTTATTAGATTTCTACTACTACTTTTACTTGGATACGGTCGTTTCCACTATGTTTTCCTACCCGAGGGATTTCCGGTTGAACATCACACCTCGATAATTACTCTTTCCGCCAAAATTTATGTTGGTTCAAAATGAAACACAATAATGCAAAAAAGTCATAAAATAAAAGTTTCAGTAATGTCAGATAAAAGAGCATTTTGGAATGTAATAAAAAATGTCATCTTTACATATTTATCGATATTAATATCAATAAATTTAATTTGAGTTATAAATATATATAACAGGTGATTTATTAATAAATAATATTTTATACATTTATTAATTAATGTTTATTACAGCATTTATTCAAAAAAAAAAAAAATGTAAATTAATTCTTATAAACGGATAAGCAAAAATCATATTAATTAATTATTAATGGTTTAAATCCAATAATTGAAAATACATGCTTTGCTATATTTTCTTCATTTGGTAGATGTTCACCTTCCCATCCACAACCATAATTTCCATGAGATAAACAAGTATAAAAATCACCATTAGCTGAATAATTATCATCTTTAACAGCATTGACTGAATTTGGAGTATGACAGTTTGGACAAGTGTACATGTTGATATTTAAAGGTGTGATGGTGTCGTGAGTGTTAAGATTTAAAAATGAGTTAAATGGTTCCGAGATTGGAACTTCGACTATTTCTTGTTCATCTTGTTTAATATCTTTGATAACCGAATTTTTAATTGAATCGACAACTATTGTTGTTGTTGAATTTTTATTGGTGGTTTTAGTAGTAGTAGTTGATAGAGATTTTGATGGAATTTTAACAAAGTTTTGTTTTGTAGTGACTTCAACTAATTGCTTATTATGAACACTTGGACTCCTGTATATAAAGAATACGAAGGATGAAGAGAGAAATAAAATAATCAATGATTAATTTTTGCATTAAATTGATTAATAAATTTATTTGAGAATAATTACATGTCGTTAATTGATGTTGTTGTTGTTGTTTTAAAACGTCGTTGTCTTTACTTTTACTTTTTGGCAAAAGAAAATCTAAAATAAAAAATAATAAAAATAAAAATTAAAAGATTAATAAAATATATTGTAAATTATATAATGTTATATAATATACCATGCTGCTTACTGCAGCTTTAAGTATAATAATAATTTTTTCAAATTTTTTTTTTTTTTTGTTAATTTTTTTTATTAGAAATAGAGTTATTAAAATCATCAGGAAGAAAAATCATTTTTTTAAAGTCATTATTGACACTCAATAATAATAATTTGAATTGGTGCCTTTTAATCAAAAAAATAAGTGAAAATTACCTTAAATTTTTTTAAATAAATATTTATTGATTTATTATTATAATAATAATATTGTAGAACAATTAAAAAAAATTATAAATTTTTTTTGAGAGAGCGAAATCTCGTCGGTTTTATAATATTTTTAGTTTATAAACTGTATAATAAACTACTATTTATTTTATTTACTTTTTATTGTTAGTAAACATATGCAACTCGGGAAAAATTTTAATTATTTTGTCAGACAATTTATGGGAAAAAAAAATGTTAGATATCAAATTTTATTTTTTAATTAGATCAATTATTGAAAGGTTTGACCAATTCCATTCTCGCTTAATGTGTAATGTAACAATAATAACTGCTGTTGTTTTATTTATAATAACACATTATTAATGGATGACATATAACAGAGAAAATTTGAATTTGTGAGAATTATGTTAACAAATCTTGTTATACGACGACGACACATGTATTGTTTTTTTCACAAGCACAACATTTACGTCATTATAGAAGATTATCTTGTTATACATACAATAATAAATCATTATTTATTATGATAAAAACCGTGCGTAATCACCAGACACATTAAATCAGGAATATTCGAGAAATCAAATACTGGACTTGATCCAATATAGAAATCTATGATAGGCGGAAAGCATAAATAACATTCATAATATGGGGCAACAAAACCAGACAAAGTGAACATTGGTATTACCAGAATTTCAGGGTTCAAAATTTAGTCATTTGTAACGTGATTATAATTAACAGTTTTATAATAATAATATCCCATTTTCTATCTTGAGTGATATATAGAGCTGACCCCATATAAAAATAATAAAAATTTGCTTAGAATTAAATAATATTTGTTGTTATTTTTTTTTGTATATTAAAAAGATGGTGGTGATTATTAACCTGTTGCTTGCTACTCTAATAATGAAATGTTTCAAAGCAAAAACTATGATGACAACTTGGTTGAATCCAATATTGGTGATAGTGATGAACCTTTAGATATAGGTGGGGAAAATATTTCATGTTTAGATATAAAAAATTTTATTGATTTAAATCATATGTATGTAACAAATAGTGAAATATTAACTAAAGAATTTATTCATGACATGATGATCTTAATTTTGATGTTGACACTATTTTAAATAGAGTTAAAAATTAAATAAATCTTTTGTTAATTTGGAATTAAATAATGTCAGTTATTTGAATCTGTATATATATCCAATTTTTTGAAAATAAAAAATAATTGATTTGTTGTTTTGAATTTGGGATTTGGGATGACTTTGGGATTTGGGATTGGGCAATACTTTGGGCAGCAAGTATATACATAATTAAGAATTATATAGATTTCAAACAACAACACACAAGGACTTTGAAACTGCATTGAAAAAAGCAAGGCAGGATGGAACATGCAATAATATTATGGTAAAGGTTACATCAATTTAATTATTTACTTCTTATAATTCTTAAACTAATTAATTAATGAGTGATATTGATGTTTATTTAAAAAAAAAACTATTTTTGCTAAGAAATAAGCTATTAAATTTCAAGATACTTTCTAAAAATTCACTTTAAATGTGGATTGACTAGATTTTTTGTTGAAAAAAATTTATGCTCACTTAAATGAGATACTGGTTTACATAACAATTCATGAAAGACTTTAGCATTCCTTTTTACACGTGACTTATAGAAAAAGATAAATTTAATTTAGTAGGAGGAAATAAACAAAAATAATATATAATAAAATGAGATACAAACCTTCCATGACAGAATTTTGTATACGGCCTCAATACACTTGGGGAATGCTTCTACTGTCTTTGGGATAACTATATCTGTTGGATCAAATATACAAATTGTATCTTCAAATAAGTAATGTGCTACTGACAATGTTAATTTAAGACCTAAAAAGAGCAAACATCATATTATCAATTAATTAATATTTGTCAAATTTTTTATTTAGAACTCAATTTTCATATAACAATAAGTGACTATTTACCATTTGTCTGAATCATATATGTTTCAAATTTATGAATATCTGACCTTGAACTTGTAGGTAGCTCTAAGAATGCACTGGCTAACAAAACTTTACTGCAGTATTCAAGCTTTTTACAGTCATTTATCCTTTTATTAGGCACATCTTTTTTTGAAGATTCATGTAACAAAATCTCTGCATCAACTGACATCATGGTAGCTTTTGAATCAAGCTTAGGACCTGACCTAGACTGCAACTAAAGATGGGAGTCGCAATTGTTTTTCCAAGCCGCAATTATTGCGGATTTGGACTGGTGTTGCAACGTTGTAGCTGCAATTATTATAGGAAAGATCTGCAAATCAAAAATAATATTTAGTTTATACTGTAAATAAAAAAAAGTATTATTTTCTAAATTGTTATCGATATGTTTATAAGAACAAAATATAACTTTAGAAATAATTTTATTTTGATACCAAAGAATAAATTTTAGTTGTAGCTTATAAAAAAGAATTGCGGAATTGTGGACAATTGCGGACAATTGCGGATATAGAAAATAATTGTGGAATTGCGGCTTGTTGCAACAAACCATAATTCCGCAATTATTTTCTATATCCGCAATTCTGTACAAGCTCCGCAATTCTTTTTTATATTTTTCATGTAAGGGAAAAATTGATTTAAAAAAAAAAAAGATTTTTATCTTATTTTTTATATAAAAAAAATGTAAAAATGAATAGTGATATAAGTAACTCAACAGGAAGTGTTGGTAGACGTTTTACTGAAGTGTGGGAACATGTTACTAAAGGGAGAGAAATTTCTCGTGGTCATTATGAAGGAACTTGTAATTACTGTGAACAATATTGGAAATAAAGATGGGAACTACAATAATTTTGTCACAATTACAAATTTAACCAAAATATCTGCAAACATTAAATAAAATATTTAGTTTGTAAAGAAATGATACCAAGAATAAATTTTAATTTGATTTTATAAAAAGGATTTTTGAGATTTGCAAACATAAAAAATATTTGTGGAAATATGGATATTTGCGGACAATGGAAATATTTGCGGAGTTGCGGATAATTGCAACATGTAGTTAATTGCGGACATTGCGGAATTTAAGATGATTCTTTGCAATGTTGCAACACAGTGTTGCAACATCAAATGTTGCAGCATTTCAATTGCGGGACCCATCTTTAACTACAACTGAGCTAATTTTTTCAAATTTTCAAAAGATTGTGAGGAAAGTTCTCCACTACAATTTAGAAAACAAAATTTTACAAGTTTCTAATCATTAATATTATAGATTGACAAAAAAAAGTTTAGAAAGACTAATTTTCTTACCTAGAAAATTTTATGTTGTAACCTATTTTAATAAAAACATGGTTGATAAGTGAGCTCCAAACATATATTGAAAGTTCATCTTCACTTAAGTCTCTAATAAGTATATCATTTGAATAAAGATTGTACCTTCATTATGAAAATCACAATTCAAAAAATATAGATATTAGTAACAAAACTTCATCTTTTACTAATGCCATTACAAAATTAAAAAAAATTTACTAACATATTATTAAAGAATTGATAAGCATATTTTAGATTAAATGGTGTGTTTGTTTCTGCATGTACATTATTCTTATTCAATGCCTGTCTTAGTTCATTTAATGTATACTGTAAAAATATTACAATTAATTTTTAATGTTGAATTTTCTATAATTATTTGAAGAAAATAGACATTTACACAATTCTCAAAATTCTTTAGATAATTAACTACAATTTCATCAATATCAACTTTAAGTTTTTCTATGCCATGTTCTTTTTTATCATCGAAATAAATTATATCAACATCATCATTTTTTAATTGACTTTGAATATTGGATATCATTGATGATGGGAGTAATTTTGTGCAATAATTATCATTGAAATTAATTACTCCAATTTGCAACAGGCTAATAAAAAAACAATATCATAAGATTAGAGGCATGATCATATGTTTCAAAGATTGATAATATACAGAAAAGTAAATTTTACTTACAATTTTATAGGTTCATTTTTTTTACACAATGAATTCCATACATCAATCTTATCCCAGTGCCATTTATAATTTATTAAAGGTACAATACACAAACTTATAAAAATTTTCTGTGGTAGATTGTATTCCATATATTTACGTGCTGCTTGCTTTTTGTTAAAAGTTTATTTATATTCAGGAGATATTCAATGGTAATCCATTACAAATTATTAAAAATTCACTTACTTTAGATGTTCGTTTTGGTCGTTGTTCCAAGTTTTTGTTATTAATAGAACTTAAAAGATGATGAATTATTTTAATAAGTAACTAAAGCAATGAGTGGTGGGCGATAACCACCACCACCATCCTTGAAACACTTACCTGTATGTATTTTTGTTGGAATTTTGTTCGTTTCTATTGTTTTTTTTCTTTCTGTTTTTTGGCATCTTGAATACAATAGAACAAGAAGTTTATGATTGATTGATGTGTACACATCAACTATTTATCCTATTGGTTTTTTTTTGGTAGGACAGGCGCGAATTGATTTTTTTTTTTTTTTTTGGAAAAACAATTTATTTTTTGACAGAGTCCAAGGTGACAAAACGTGAGTATTGTTGTTTGGTTTGGTTTGGGTCTCCTAAAGAAAACGTGTTAATAACTAACCAGAGATACTATTTTTTATTTGTATTGATATTTTTTATTTTATATAAACATTTTAATTGGAAATCAAAACGCAGAGCAGATCTTGCTGGGTAATTACAAGATTTTCATTGATAATATTTTGTTTTCGTAATCATTAATAATATTATTATAAATATTATAATTACAAGATATCAAAGCAGCACACCATTTAAAAAGAAACATTTCAAATATGTAATGTTTGATTATCGGAAAATGGCAGATGTTGAAGCACGCACGCTACCTTGAACACATTTACAGTCATTCTCTCACATTCCTCATGTACACAAGGCTAATCTGACCACGTTTCTCCCGATGATACAATGATGTTGAAATCCAGGGGGGGGACGCAAAGCTCTGGAGTTTACCATGACTGCATCAATCGTCAAGGACCTTTTCACTAATCTTCTCAGACCAGAGAAGGCTGCTGGCATGCTGGTCGAAAAGTTGCCTGCAACGATCCCACCTCTAGGATAAGGATGGCTCTGTGACCAAGCTGTTGCAGCTCTGCTGATGAATTGTAGTGCCATGTAAATATCCAGATCCATCAAAGCAACGAGAACCTGCAACTTGTTTCAAGCTCAGGAGGTCACAATTCAGAGCAGGGTTGGTGGCCCTGATATTGCATTTGGGCTCTGATGTTAAGAGGGAAGTTGTAAAATAGTGTTTGTTTTGTATAATCATTTTCATAAATGCTCTGTTTAACCAATTTATGATTTTGGGAGAGGTCTGTGCTCAATAAGTCCTCTGTCCTGTAGGTTAAAATTATCACATGATTATATACATCCTTGTCAGCAATATGGCCAACAAGAAAAAAGTCATAAAATGGTTCAGATTTTGTTTGGTATGTTTTGTATAAATTAAACATTCCCATAAATTTACTGCTTCTCTTTAATTTTTATTTGACCAACTGAACTTGTTATTTTAGTAAATGGGGTAGGGTTGTTGGTGAGTAGGCATGCCACTGACAAGACAGGGGACGCCTTTGGGATATACCAGCCAAACTCATAGAAAGGGATCTTTTGTCCAGACTTAGGGTCACATGGATGTTAAGCACAGAAAATGTACACTATCAATGTATATTTTTTTCAACAAAATAAACATTTAAATAATTAATTGTTAAATATTAATACTTTTCTTTTCATAAAAATTACAGCAACCCAGGACTCAAAACTCTGAATTTGGGGAAAATCCAAAACAGCAATCCAGGTTACAACCTCCTGAGTTGCTGAATTCTCAAGCCAGTCTTAACACCAACTTTAATGCTAGTGTGGCAATAACACAAAGCAATCATCATAAATGCTAACTCTCATCAGCAATCAATGCCCATATGGTAACAGCCAAGCCTGGTCTTAGAGGAAGATAGGGAATGTTTTGTCCAAAGCCTTCCAGCATGTTCAGGACTGTTTCACCTGTGGAGAATAAAATCCATGGTGCTGAATTGTGCTTAGTTGCACGGTTCTGCATGTTTGTGACAGGAAAAATTCAATTAAATCTGACACCTGTGATTCAACATCAGATTTATTATTCATGAGCAACCATAATTGATAATCAGGAAAAGTAATTTATTTTTGTGAACCCTAGAGATCTGGATAAACATGCATTATTAAAGTTTCATTCATGCATGGCCTTGGTATTATTACTACCTGGGTGATGCAATTTTTCGTTATGTCAGTGACAACATCAAATGTATTTAATAATCATAATAATCACCATGAATATTTAATAGAGCAGGTATTCACAGAAGGAAAGGATTAAATAGCAACAAAAAAGCTAAGTTTGTTTTTTATCAACCAAAATATATAATTAATTGTATTTAAAAATTTATTATTTTATTCCATTTTGTAATGGCATTAGCTTCAATAATTCTATTTCCTTAGTATATATTAATGATTTAATCAATATACAAGTGGTGGTCAATTTAAATGTGTAAAATTTTTTTAAAAGATGTTTTTACAATAATGATTTTTAATATTTGTAAAATTTTTTTTTGATAAATGTAAATCTTTATTAATATTAATAAAAAATCAGGAAACATGAAATTTTTGCACATAATTATTTTTCACGGGGCCAGTTGACCAAATTTTTCAATTTCTCTTCATAAGTTACTGAACAATCATTTTTTTTAAATCATTTACTTAAACCTATTCCACTGATTCATCTAAGATTAATTCCATATACTGTAAAATAGTAAATTTACAAATCACGGGAAACTAATATAAATCGGAAATGATTTACAATTGACTGTGAATGCCAACAAGAAAGCTGCTAAGGTAAATGAATTGGAAGAAGAAGTTGAAGCATTGAAGGTAGAGTTGGAAAAAAGTGATGACAGAATAGAAGAATTGGAAGAGAGAGTAGATATTGAGGTTGAAATGAATTTAAAAGCATTAGACAAGTCAGCAGAATGGAGGGAAAAACAACTAAAAGAAGTAAAATCAGCCCATGTTTTGAGAGAAAAATGATTTTTGAAACAAATAGAAGTTTTAGAAAACAATATTGATTGATTAAAAAACAAAGAGCAAATTATTAAAAAATACAAAGATAGAGAATTACCAGCCTTACCTAAAAAGCAAAAGCAAAGCAGACTATTAAAATTCAAAAAGTTAGTAAACAAAGTTAAAGAAAAGAGCAAGAAGAAGTTTCAAACTCATGTTTTGGAAAAGTTTGAAGCTCATATCTTACAACCAAAGTAAACAGAATGAAACTAGAGTACAGAGTTTTGGAATTAGTAAATGGGGATGAACAAGAATGTAGTTATTGCTTTATAGATTATAGTGACCAAACCAACCTTGATTTTAGCACTGCTCCTGCTGCCTATCAGATGGTAGCACATACCAAGTCAGAACAATACTTTGATATATCCTTTATCTGTAAAGATTGTAAATTGGAATATGATAACAATGTTCTCCCAAGATGTGAGAAATGTGATAGGTTAATGAGAAATAAGAGTCTATGTTATTGTCATAAAGAAAAAAAGAAGCAAACCCAATCTCTTACTAACAGGGAATTAGTTGCCCAATCTTTCAGTTTTCGCCTAGAAAGTAAAACTAG